GTCAGCACCCCCTCTCTCCCCACAGCCGCCCATCCAGGTGTACGGGCTGGAAGGGCGCTATGCCACCGCCCTGTACTCTGCAGCCAGCAAGCAGAAGAAGCTGGAGCAGGTGGAGAAGGAGCTGAGCCGGGTGTGGGTAAGGTGTTCCACAGCCAGAGCTCCCTGGGTGGGGGAGCAGGGGGGTTTCCCTGCTCCTCGGGAGGAAGGTGGGCTTGGCTCCTGCAACCTCTGAGGCTCCCACTCCCAGCCCACTGGCACATGTGCTGCCTGCCCTGTGCCCCAGTGTTTAAATGGGAGATTGGGAAGGAATTGCTGGCTGGGGGGGTGGGCAGGCCCTGGCACAGGTTGGGCAGAGAAGCTGTGGCTGCCCCTTGGAAGTGTCCAAGGCCAGGCTGGACAGGGCTTGGAGCAACCTGGGCTGGTGGAAGGTGTCCCTGCCCAGGGCAGGGGGTGGAACTAAGTCCATTCAATCTTTAAGGCCCCTTCCAACCCAAACCATTCCATGATTTTGTAGCAGGAGCTGCCCTTCCACTTCCCCTCAGCTCCAGAGCGTTTCGTTCTCACTCCGTGTTTCCTGCTCTGGCCGGTCCAGGTGGGCCTTGGAATGCCTGCAAAAGTCCTGGGTTTCCTCCCCTAGCTGTGTCTCCCCTCAGACCCTGCTGAAGGACCCCAAGCTGTCCAGCGTGGTGATGAACCCTCACACCAAGAGCACAGTGAAGCAGAAAGCCGTGAGCGACGCCTTGGCGAGGGAGAAGATGTCCCCCATCACTGTCAACCTGATGAGTGAGTGACCCCTCCCGGGCTCCGGGAGGACGCCCAGGCGGTGCCACCCGTTTATCCTGGCTCTGGGCCGCCCAGCCGTGCCCTCAGCCCTCGGGGCTGTGGCTGTTTTGCAGACCTGCTGGCCGAGAACGGGCGCCTGCGCCACACCCCGGACATCGTGGCCGCCTTCGGCAAGATGATGAGCGCGGTGCGAGGGGAGGTGCTGTGCACCGTCACCACGGCTCAGGTGGGCTGGCAGCCTCTGCAGCTTGGGGGGGGAGCAGCAAACCCACCCCTCCAGGATCACCCTGCTCTCTGGGATTGGAGTGTGTGAGCAGGGAGGAAACGGCTCAGCTGAACGTCATTCTGCAAGGAGGGTTTTGATACCCAGCAGAGACTTGTCAGGAATTAAAGCTGTTCCTCCCGTTTCAGTCTCACAGGTCATGTTTTTCCTTCCTGTGTGTGAAGCCAGGGGGTGGTAAAACAGCCTGGTCTGCACACAGAGCTGCCCCTGGTTCATGAAACAGGGAGAGCACCAAGGAGGTGGCTGTTCCTGTGCTGCCCTTTGGGTGTCCCCGTTTCAGAACACTGCGTAATCTACACTCCTGGTACTAGTGTCTGTCTTCCAAAGGAGCTGAGTAGGATATTTGGGCCCTTGTTCTATCATTTGAATATTTTCAAGTCCTTCATTTTCCTTCTTTTGTGCTCCTGTTTTTCAGCCCTTGGATGAGGCCAACCTGACTGAACTAAAAAGTGCTCTGAATGGATTCCTGGCTAAGGGAGAGGTCTTGAAGCTGGAGACCAAGGTCTGGAATTTGAACTTATAAATCAGTTCCATCAAGTTCATGTTAAGGGCTTAAAAAACGGTCTTAAAGATTTCACTGAATCCCGTTGCTGTTACGTAATTCTGTGCTTTTTGTAGACATGATGATGCTTTAATTCCTAAATTCCTAACTTTGGAATGCAATGACCACAAAGTTATCTCAGAAAAGGCTCTTGGAAGAGCTTTGTTCTTCACTTTGCTAGTGTCAGAGTTGTATCCTAGGCTAAGAAACTTGAGCTCATAGACTTTCTGTTCAATGTTCCCTGTTTAGACTGACCCGTCGATCCTCGGGGGCATGATCGTCAACATCGGGGAAAAGTACGTGGACATGTCAACGAGGTCCAAAATTCAGAAACTCACCAAGATCATGAGAGAGACTGTCTAGAGAGCTGTCCTGGTCATTCCCAAGGAAACCTGGCTGATGGAGACAATAAAATTCTTCCTTCTCGAGCAGACGGTGCCACGTGTTTTGATTTGGGGAAACAGCCCTGAGGGAGGAGGATGCTGAAGCTGTAGTGGAATATCATGTAGTTCTCGCAGAACACTCCATGAAAGGGCTTGAAACCCTGGCTCACCCTGAGGGGAGGTGAACTGGGCTGGGAAGGATATGGAAGGAACGAAGTGGGAGCTGATAAAGGGGGTCAGTGCTGCAGAGGGTCTGCCAGGCTCCACAGAAAACTCAGGGGGTTGGTCTCTCCTAACATGTCCCAAGGGAAATGATGATAGGAAATGGCCTGAAGTTCTACTAGGGGAAGTTCACCTCAGATATTAAATCCAATTTTTTCGCTGCCAGAGTGGTCAGGCCTTGCAATAAGTGTGCATCACCTCCCAGGGAGCTGATGGAGTCACTGCCTCTGGAAGTGTTCCAGAGGTGTCTGGATATATGGACATGGATTAGGGGTAACTGTGGTGGTGCTCGGTGAGGGTTCCCGGGGCTCAGGGCAGCGGCCAGCTAAAAAGAAACAAAATCCTTTCCAAAGGCCTATTTCGTGAGCTCCGAACCCAAACCAGTCCGGGCACAGCAGGGGCTGCAAGGCCACAAGTGCCGGGGCTGCCCTGGGCCGGCTCCGGGCGGTCCCGCTGGCCATGGGGGGCCGGGGGTGGCCCTTTGTGACACGGGCGCCTTCCAGGGCCCTTTGTGACACGGCCATGGGGGTGCCCGGAGACCCTTGTGACATCCCAGCCCCTGCCCTGCCCGTGGGTGTTGGAGGGGCAACAGAGCCCTGGGGTGCCCACAACCAGGAGAGCCGCTCTCTCAGGAGGAAGCTGCTCCCTGGATCTCTCTGCGAGAGAGAACGAGAAGAGTTTTTGGAGGAGATTAAGACGGAGATGGACAAGCGCAACTCCCAGCCCAGCCCGGGGCGAGCTCCAAGCCTGCCCAGGGTGAGGGACAGGGAGCCAAGGCTGCCATCTCTGCCACGGCAGCCGAGGCAGCTCCTGCTGCCAGTGCTGCCACCCCTGTCAGAGCAGCCAAGGCAGCCACTGGTGCCACTGGTGCAACTGGTGCCACCAGCACTGTCACGGCAGCCAAACCAGCCCGTGCTGCCACTGCTGCCACCACTGCCAGAGCAGCCAAACCAGCCAGTGCTGCCACTGCTGCCACCACTGCCAGAGCAGCCAAGGCAGCCAGTGCTGCCACTGCTGCCACCACTGCCAGGGCAGCCAAACCAGCCAGTGCTGCCACTGCTGCCACCACTGCCAGGGCAGCCAAGGCAGCGAAAGCAGCCACTGCTGCCACCGCTGCCACAGCGGCCAACGCTGTCAACACTGTCAGCGCTGTCCCGGCAGCCAAAGGACACGAGGAAGATGGAGATTTTTGAGGAGGAGAGGAAGATGGAGAGGGAAGAGATCAGGAAGATGAAGATAGGTAAGCCATCGCTAACAATGCTGTCACCACTGCCAGAAGGGGAATGCAATGTTCCAGAGCTCTCTCAGCTGGAAGAGGACACCGCCAAACCACTGTCCCCAGCAGAAGAGGACAGTGGCAAACAACACTCCCCAGTAGAGGAGGACACTGTCAAACTAGTGTTCCCAGTGGAAGAAAAGCCTGTCCCGTGCAGCCCCAC